AATAATTCAAAGTGTTTTATTTAATTATATACATTATATATACATAATTTAAATACTAACCAAGGCAAGCTTATCAATAAAAATTGTTACTAATAAACTAAAATAAAATGTTAAATATAAATATTTACTTTTTACAAGTGAAATTTAGCTAAAAAATAGTATACGTTACTTCATTAAAAGATGATACATTTTCAAAACTATATTACTGAGTGACGACCAAATCGGCCTATTTTCATTTATTCATTGAGGATTATTAGTTCTTTATTATGATTAGTGGTAACAACGAGATGAGTCTACTCGCGAGCCCAAGCGTCGAGCTCAGTATCGGTTTGTAAAAAAAAAATGCTCAAACTTTTAGGGCTCAAGTCGAGGCAAGGCTTGGCTTGAGCCTTTGTCGAGCCAAGTCCGTTCGCGGACTTTCGACTTTTTTGCTTTACTCGAATATAAAAAAAAAATTATAGTTAATTTACGAACTACAAAATATATTTAAAAACTATAAAAAGTAATTATGCAAGTTGTTGAGTTTTACAAACTAAGTGATCATTAATTTATACTATAAAAAATAATTATTCAAGTGATTTAAAAAAGGCAAGAACACGAGCCAACATACGATGTCGAGCCAAGCCGGTTCACGGACTTTCGTTTTTTTTTTTTTTTACTCGAATATAAAAAAAAATCATAGTTAATTTACGAACTACAAAATATATTTAAAAACTATAAAAAGTAATTATGCAAGTTCTTGAATTTTACAAACTAAGTGATCATTAATTTATACTATAAAAAATAATTATTCAAGTGATTTAAAAAAGGCAAGAAACACGAGCCCACATACGAGTTGACCCGTATTTTGGCTCGTGTGCCTGGGTGAGCTTGGGCCAAATCTCATTTTTGATACTTGGTCCAAATCTTAATTGGGAAAAATTCATATCTAAGGTATTTTCTTTACCTCAATTCAAAAGTAAGGTAAAATAGTTTGAAAATTCAAAAATCAGGTATGGATTTAATTAATTAAAAATATTTATTAAATAAAGATAATAAAGTCACAGTTTGTGATTACTGGTCACATATTCATAATTATAAGTCACAGATTTATTTACTGGTCACATATCGTCAAATTTTTTTATCCCAGATTATTTCGAAGTCACATATCAAAAAATTGTACGTCACAGATTATTTCCAGGTCACAAATTTTAAATTAGTTGGTCACAGATTATTTTTGAGTCATATTATTAAATTTTTAGGTCACAGACTACCGCCGCTTGGTCACAGGTCACAGATCGACCAAATACTTGGTCACAGATTACCAAACATTTGATCACAGACTACCGCCGCTTGGTCACAGGTCACAACAGCCACAAACCACCACACCCACAAAACACACGCAACAACAGATACGCCACCACCATCAATAGATCCACCACCAATTCGCCACCCCACAGATACTCCATGAGGCCTCTCTCTTCTAGAATATTCACCACATTGAGCCTATTCCTTACATCTGCGTCATCTCCTTCAGTTGATTCTTAGACAAATTGAGTCCAGTTGGACCAACATCACAACCAACCAAACTCGCCACCAACATCACGCCAGCCAAACCCACCACCGCATCCATACCCACCAACATCACTCCATACCCGAACCATTAAACCACAGCAACGTCGACCAGAACCCTCGAACCGCAGCAACGTTGCGGCTGTTGCTGCGCGAATGACAGAGTCGCGACGCTGCTCAGTTCGTGGCAGCGTCGCTAGCAGAGTTGCGACGACGCTGCTGTCCGGCGGAGAGAGGCAGATATGGTGGGGGAAGGAGGGAAGGGGAGGGGAGAGAGAGAGAGAGAGAGAAATGTGAGGGTGAGAATGATAAATTAAGGTTAGGGTTTTTATATTTCCTGATTTTTGAATAATAAAACTTGATCCCTGAATTTTGAATTCCAATCTTTAAACACCTGAATTATTATAACTTCCCATCTTAATTTATTTCCAATATATGATACTTTATTTATGGAGCCGAAATATCAGTTATTTGCTTTGAGTTCCCTCCAATCAAGGACGGAGCTCGGACAAAAAATTAAAATTGTACTAGATTAATCAATATAATAAAAATTCTACAAAAAAAATAATAAATAGGCTTACCCAATGTTGCCCCCTCCCTCCATCCCTCTTCCAACGCAAATGCCTCGGTATCAACGAGATTCCACCTATTTCAGAAAATAGGCAAAGGTTAGCGGATATTGTGCCAATTACCCAAAAAAGAAATAAGTTTATGTAATATTTTCAATTTACATTTCTATCGTATCAAATAAAATTTCTCGATTTAATCTATCTTGTTGTAAATGAAACAGAGAATCAGTGCGAGGAGATTATAAAAGGGATTGTTAGCTACATGAGCATATCTTCTTTGTTATTGTTCTGGCTTCTTTGAACAACCCCTAGTAAATTTTAATTTTGATCTTTGAAAATCTTGGTCGTGAGAATTCAATGAGTAAATCTTTCATTAGCCACTAATCTTTATATCATGTCAGGGTTTACTCACTAAACTTCATCATTGTCTCATTGGCCACTAAACTTCGCTCCGTCCAACTCTATCGCTCATCCTATGAAAATTGTTAATCAACGTGCTAACGTGGTGGATGGAAAAATGATGTTGCAGGTTAACTCCTTCCAAGTGGTAAGTTGTTTGCTAACACAACTTCCACATCAACAAAGGCGCATCCAAACATGGCTTTACCAGTTAGAGAAACACGACTTTGAATTGCAAACACCCAAACTCTTAAAGCATGAAAAATCAATTTCCCCATAACCAACTCATAAGTGAATCCATTTCTCCCAATTACATAGCCCCAAATCGAACCCTTAATCATGAAATCCATTTCCCCAAATTACTCTGTTCTATGTTGCGAAGCTATGAACCCTAATCCTCAATTTCCACCATTGTTGACCATATATATATATATATATATATATATATCAGAAATGATCTAATGAGCACCGGTGCTCATCTTATCCTAAACACCAATGAGTTGGCACATTAATTCATTGGTGGATTGGAACTCACAAAATCTTTATCCACCAATGAATTAATGTGCCAACTCAT